CCGCAGGACACGCTGGGAGGGGGCTCTGCTCAGCTCCTCATTCGAACAACAACTGTGGGCCGTCCAGCGAGCCGAGGAAGCCGCCCGAGCCCAAGGGCTCGTGGCCGACGCCTAGGCCCGCCCCAAATCAACTTCGCTGGACTTCATAAATAAAGTTATTCTTCTTCTTCTTCATTTGGTTAACCTCCCTATTTTTCACTGAACCTTTTGTCTCTTTCTTTCTCATAAATTATCAAGGAGACGTGAAGAATTCATATTGTTTCTCATTTGTAGTCTCCTAGAGCTACTAAAGTTGCCAGACTGCGGAAAAATTCTTTGAATTCAATAATACCTAAAAACGTGACGTTTTAAATTTCGGAAACTCGCAAAGTTTGTCATGAATGAACCAGAACACACGCAATAGTATGCACACACTTATCTTTAATAAACTGATTTTTTATACGACTCGATACACTGCGAACAGCTTGAAAACAACAAGCACAACAGCGTTTTGTGAAAACATAAGCTGTTTACAGGTGACTGCGATAAAGAGGAAAAAAATGGCGTTTTAATAAAATGCTTTATTCGAAAAATCAAGCATGAATTCATGGGACTATGCGATGAGATCTGATGTACAGAACTAAAATAATGTGGTTAGTGTATTTGTTGTAAACATCTCAAGCACTATCCTAACCATTCCTCTAATATTGACAAGCCCACAGCCACAATCTAAAGTAGAAGTGGTTAATTAAGGAGATAGTTAAAAGATAGATTGAAAAATGCTGGGCAGATTCTGAAGCAAATGAGATATATATACACTTGGCTTGCAGCATGCGATGTTGAGCTAGTTTGTACATCTCTTCTTCGACAACTTTTCTTGGTTTTCCCGGGGAAGCTATGAAACCGAAGCACTTGCCTACGTGCTTGCCAAAATGTAGTAGCTATTTTTATTTTGTAATTTTCAGAGCTACCTTTCTCGAATGAAGAAAGCTTTCTTTCTTATAAAAATAAAGCCAACGTAGGAAACTACTGAAGGAAAAAGAATGTTGTACCATTTGTTTTTTTTTTCAATTTTTGTAGAGCGCAATGTTTTCCGCCCGCTTTTTCCCGCAGTAAACATGTCGTCCCGGATGACCGCAGTACCGTGCGCAGCCGAAAACTCGCCGTCTTGTTCTCCGAGGAATACACAGTCAAAATGTGACAGAAAATGTCTGTCGAAACAGACCGAGCAAGTTATCTGCACCATCTGTGCTGGAGTAAGGCACTGTCAACCTGAACTGTCCACGAATGTTAAGTACCAGACAGTCGCCGAGCTGCGAGCGAGCAGGTACGAAACTGGAACTGAGATCGGCTGCAAGCTACCGATCTCAGTACGCACACCTCGCCCGTACACCTTTCGTTCCACTGCCAAAATAAATTGTTGCCTAGTACAATGCAGAAATGATACGGCACTTTTTATCCCCTCTTTTTTTACCACTCTATAACACGTGCAACCTCTTAATATTAAGGTACTTGGCTTGTTGTTTTCTGTCCCTAAGGTTTTACTTTCTTCTGGGAATGAAACGGAGCCTGTACTTGGTCTTGGAGGGTAGGCGATCGTTCTCATCGCCGATATCAATGGTGACTCCATCTTCGGGCAGCACTCTAAAGTTTTGAAGTATGCTGGTGATGTACAGGAATATCACCATGACAGCTTGAGTCTCCGCGGGACACTTGCGCTTTCCTAAAAAAAAAAGAAAAAAACGGACAGCATTTGAGGTTTGAGGTTGTGCAGATGCAACTTGTTCCCGGCTATGGCTATCACGTATAGATGGAGCGGAAATGCGAAAGCGCCCGCGTACGCATATTTAGGAGCACGTTAATGAACTCAATCTGTTCAAAATAAATCCGGGAAATCCCATTGCAGCGTGCCACAATCATGTAGTTTTGTCACGCAATGCCCGAAGAATACTTTTATCGAGGATTTCCGGGTCAAAACAACTGACAGCAGGATCAGATATGATCACATCTTCAGAGAAGCAATAGAGTAAGAGGAAATGTGCACAGCTTACGTTAGAGGTGCAAGGCTCGAAATAATAACGGAGCTAATGTTTGACCTAGGTTGTAAGTTTTAGCTAGTAATTTCTGAAGTTTTCGCCATCAATAATAAGTTTTACAAGTCGTACTAAGTATGGCTAGGCTTGAGTATTCAACGGTTTCTGTCGGTTCCTCACACTAAGCGCGTGTTACGTGGTTTTGGCGGGGATATGTCCCGTGACTAGATGTTACGAGAGTTTAGTACCGTAGCTAGTTTTTGCGTCCTGTTACGCGACTTATAGTCCTGTGACTGACGCTATGCGTAATGTTATGGTGTGACAATGTCATGTGACATTTTGGGGTTGTTAGTCACGTGTTTACATGTTACACGAAGATGCGCGTTTTTAGTCACGTGAGTATACTTATGAAATGTTACGGAATTTTAGTCACGGGATCAGTTGTTAGGGATGTTACGTGAGTTTTAGTCGTGTCACTATATGTTACGTGGTTATGTGATTTTCATGCTTCGAACTGTTCTTACGAAAAAATTAGCTATGATTTGTTTCTCAATACGGGTGCCGGTGTTACAGCTATGAAACACTTTTGACGAAATATATATTTGCATTCAAGTAAGCACACCTACCCAAGGAAAACGATAAGATGCGTTTGGGTCGCTCGCATGTCGCCGAACCATCTTCGTTCAAGAAGCGGCCTGGGTCGAACTTTTCCGGATCAGGCCACACGCTGGGATCGTTGTGGACGGCCCAGAAATTGGCCATAACCGTGGTTCCGGCCGGATAGAAGAAGCCGTCGCAAGTGAAATCCACCGCGGCCCTGCGCAATACATTGATCATATATACAGGTACGCACCTAGCTGGGCTGGTTTGGCACGTGATTGAGACGGGACCAAACAGTGCCAGACGGGGGATGGTAAAAAAAACAAAAAAAACGACAGAGGTCGTAGGAACGTCCGCCACAGTTCTGTAGCAGTCAGTGCTCAGCTGCTGACCCGAAGGTCGTAGCTTCGATTCCGGCTGCGGCATCGCATTTTGGTGGAGGTGAAATGCCAGGTGCACATGTACCGATCAATGTCTGTGTGCACGTTAAAGAACACCAGATGGTCAAGATTTCCCGAAATCTCCTCTACGTTACCTCTCATAAGTGTGACATGATTTTGGGACATGAAACACCCGATGTTATCACGTTAGTGTTCTTAGTGTCAACGTCGGTCATTCTACTCCGTGCGCTGTCCAGCGCTGCTTGTTCGCGTCTCTATGTTCATTCATCGAACACTTGAAATGTTTGACCTCGAAAAGATGTTTCCAACCGCCACCATCAGTGTGCATTGGGTCCCCAATTATCAATCTCACTGTTTAATACTTTATCTACCTAAATCAAAGGTGCGGAGAGAATTTTATTTCGGACGGGGTCCGATCCGTGCGTGCACACTTCAGCAGTGGAGATAGAGCAATGTGAGCTCCCCGCCCGTTAATTACCATTTTGCTGCACCACTTGCCTTTACTCCGCCGTGCTTTTATTGTGCGTAGGTGGCACCAATGAAAACGGTATACCTTCGCGCGTGGGAAACGCTTGTGAATATTGTTCACCCCTTTAATTATGTGGACACTCTCGGCTGGATTTAGCCGCCGGCGTCGATGTCATGCACCGTATATGTAAACGTTTCTATTTATGTGAAAACGTAAGAAAGGAAGCTTTCTAGAAAAAAAAAACACTTTGGCGTGCGGAATCGAACGTGGGACCTCTGCGTCGTGAAGGTGAGGCGTTAACCACTGAGCTACTCTGGAAAACGTTCTTTACCATTTAAACGGCAAGCTATTTATATCTTCCACACACCGCTGCTGTGTTTTCGGCATTACCAGAAAGATGACGCAACGAGCTCACGTCACTACATCGCACAGCAGCGCCCGCTCTGATCTCCTACGCGTCGTTTGCCCGGCTTAGAGAAGGGAAGCTATACGCTCCTCGCGCGCCCTTATCTCGAGGTTGCGAGCGGGGGAAGATCGTACGCCTTGGCTGGCCTCGGGCTTTACGTGGAACAATTCTGCTGTAGTTTCCGGGTGAAAAAAAGGTAACTGCAAATATTGCAGTCTCCGTTCGCGAAAAGAGCACGCTTTTCAGACTCATGATTGATTGATTTGTGGTGTTTAACGTCCCAAAACCACCATATGATTATGAGAGACGCCGTAGTGGAGGGCTCCGGAGATTTCGACCACCTGGGGTTCTTTAACGTGCACTTAAATCTGAGCACACGGGCCTACAACATTTCCGCCTCCAGCGCTTTTCAGACTCAGCGAAGTAACAAATGAGACGCTTATTCGCGTGCATTGAGTATGTACGGTGTGAGCACGTTCTGTGCTCACATTTGTGCGTGAGAAACGCGGGCACGTTTCAATCTGCTTTCCATTCTGCGCGTGACCTTTCAAATTGTTGTTATCGCGTTCATTGCTTCACCTTTGCGGCAAAGCTGTGACTTTTCTCGTTTTGTAATGTGCACCTCTGACTTAGTCTACCAACCCACGTTCTTATACCCAAGAAGAAGGAACCCACTACAAGAGAGCAGTAAATTTAGTCTGGAATGTACCCCGAAACTGTTAGTGGGCAAGCGCTTGCTGGTATTCAGGCGAAAGCTTTTACTCGAGTCATACTCGAGTCTGCCCATGCGTGCCCTAGAACAGTGCCAACTATAGGCACTCTCTTTTAGGCTCTCTCAGCTATCACGTGGATCCTAAAGCAGTGCATATCAATAGTTGTGCCACTACAGCTCTGGGACTCTACCTCCTACATTGTTTCATCAATCACGTGAGTGAAAATAGCGCAGAGGACAAAAATACAAAGCAAAGCAATGTAAGACAAGAAAGAATGTTTACAGCATGAACAGCAACAACGAAAAACACATAGCACATCAGTCGAATGGGCACATGCTTTCACCGGACAGATGTTGGAACCCACAAAATGTCATCTGATTTTTTTACCTTCTGGGTGCACTAAGCGGGGTGATGGCCTTCCAGCGCAGCATCTCCCACACGACAGTCCATGGTGAGGGGCATTCTAGTCCTGTCTTCCCACGTGGGACGCCTGAGCGAGCCCACCACACGATCGATCTCAGCCTGCACCTGCGCCTGCAGCGTGTCGGCTCGAAGAGCGAAGTTAATCATGTGCCAGTTCATGTACGTGGGGACGCCCGCCGATCCGGCCTGGAAGAAGCCGATTGCCGTGCTCATCAGGTTCTCCACTGCGCGGGTTTGAAAGAATAGGACACGAATAGCTGCAGAAAATGTACAGTGTAACCCGATGAACGAGGTAGTAAGATAGATGCAGAAAGTTTCCGGAAATGCAACGTCGTGCTGTTTGCTGTACATAGCGTTTGTGGAAATTATTAGGATGTGGTATATTTTGAAAGACGAACATAAAAATGGTTAAAGAAGTAGATGCGAGGCATCTATGCCCTATATGCCTGTATAATTATATAAAATAAACCTAGTATTAGCATGATGAAGGAGAATGGGTTAGTTGCAATGAAAACGTAGTGTTTTATCATAGAAATGTCAATGCAAGAAGCACTTTGTATGCAGGCTTTTTTTTCTCCAAGTAAACTTTTTCCAAGTTTACGGAGCGCTTGACAGACCAGAAATCAAACTTACGTTCATTTTTTAAATAAAAACAGGTTATTTGAATGCAACATACACGATCTAACTTGACGGCGTTTTATGCCGGGGCCCACCGCGGCTTTGCTGACGTATTTCCGTCACGGATATGACGTTGTAAAATCTGCGTGGTAGAGGGCGAAGGTCACTTCGCACGCGGCCGCGTTTACGGAAAGAGCGAGCTGCTGACCCACGACGACGAAAGAATTGTGACAGTTGCTCGCACTTGTCCTGCGTATACTTGTGCGCTCCTTTCGCGCGTCGCCCCGCCGCGGTGGTCTAGTGGCTAAGGTACTCGGCTGCTGACCCGCAGGGCGCGGGTTCGAATCCCGGCTGCGGCGGCTGCATTTCTGATGGAGGCGGAAATGTTGTAGGCCCGTGTTCTCAGATTTGGGTGCACGTTAAAGAACCCCAGGTGGTCTAAATTTCCGGAGCCCTCCACTACGGCGTCTCTCATAATCATATAGTGGTTTTGGGACGTTAAACCCCACAAATCAATCAATCGTTTCGCGCGTCTTTCTGTTTGAACAGCGTGCTTTAATTGTCCAACTGTTACAGCTGTAAGCCCGCGTTCGTCCTGTGTATGCTAATTTTGTGCGTGTTTTCTGCTTGAGGTGTGCGCTGCAAGTTTCGAGATGCTTTTTGTTGTTAACATGACCTCGCGATTCGTTGCTGTTGCTGAAACAATGTACAATAAACGCTAAATTAACTGTGTGAAGACATGTTTCACTATCGCGTCATACCGATTAATATATAGGGGGATCAAACACGTTTTTCGTTATGACGTACTACTTCATCGATTACGCGCTGGTCAGAGTTTTGGTCGCATTCATGGTGGGCGATACCAGCAATATCAACTTGTAGTAGCGGCAAGACGGCAAGTTAGGCCAGTTGGTTTACGTTCATGTTTGAAAATGTGGTCGAACCGCCCTGAAAACATGGACAAGAAGAAGTATAGACAGGACAGCGCTTACATTCATAACTGAAATTTTGTTAATAAAAAACTATATAACGCAGATACGTGATTACTCGCGCATGCGTAATAGAGCAGTCCACAACAACGCATATTTGTGTCCGGCGTGTTGGCGTAGCTGTCACTGTGCTCAGCTGCTGACCCGCAGTTCTCGGGTCCAATCCCGGGTGCGGTGGGCGCATTTCGATAAAGGCGAAATGGTAGAAGCCCATCTTTTGTGAAATGCCAGTCCACGTTAAAGAGCACCAGATGGTCAAAATATTTGGAGCCCTCTATACTGCAGCGTATTTCGCAATCATGTCGTTGTTTCGGAATGTAAAACGTCATATTTTATAAACGATGCTTATTTGTAACCGCTAATCTGGAGGTGGTGCAACAAACATAAATTTATATTATTGAGGCAGCCACTAGGTGTTGATTGTTATTGGGGCCCTGCACTGACTTGTTACTGCGGTGATGCTTGATGACGTACTGCAGTGACGTATACCTCGTTGCGGAATTATTCGGGATTTTAGCGTAGTTCGATGAAATATTACTAAAAGTGCACTTGGAACTTCCAGTACCAACTTTAATGACTTTTGTCCTAAAGATTCTTTCATCCTGCTTGTAAAACTAATAACACCGACTCTGGATTGCTAAAGTTGAATGCAGAAAAGTTTCTTGGGGTGGCTCAAAAAAAATTTACGGTTTTATTAGCAGTTCATGGATAAGTGTTTTTGCGAATACAGGTCCCACCCACATATTTGGCAGTTACCGTATAGTTAATGATGATAAACAATTCCAGGTTTGGGAAAGAGTGTAAAACTAATCAATATATAATTATATTTTTCTATATACTACGTATCTTATGGGACTTTTAGCAGGTGTTTTTTCGTTCACGATTTTTTTCATGAAATTATTCTTGATTCGAAAATTAATATGTCAAAATAAACACATACAGTTCAACTACATTTATCATTGAAGAACGCGTTCTTTGCGTAGACTGTCTACTGGGGTGAGGCTGGTGCTACCCTACTCAATAAGGAAAAAAAAAAGTCAAAGATGATGAATGGAGCGAAGATGGAATGCTTATTGGTAAAACCGTGAAACTCTCGTTGGGGTACGATGGTAGCGCTTTCACGGCATTGGTCGTTGCGCATGGAAGCGATGGTGGTGAAGTTGTTGCCCGACCACAAGCAGTCGGATACCTTACAGCTGTGCCAAACGAGCAATCGAGGAAGTCGCGCTTGAAGCGAGTGTTGGCGTCACCAGCCTCACTTAGCGACTGCATTCGGCGATGGACCGCTGCTTTCACGCCCGCTCCTATATTTTAGGTTCTGTTGCCACTGCTTGTGTGCCGCCTCTACTTCACAGGCTCTCACTTGGGAATCCACTTGTCGACGAGAACGTTTTGCTTCACTGTGCGAGCCTCGCCGCTGCCGCTGCCTCCGGCTCGACGCTGGTGCTGGCTTGTGACTGCTGCTGACGCTGGCATCTTTCTTCAATCTCATGAGCTCTCAACATGGGGTCTTGGCGGCGGGCCCGCTTGGCAGCCACGTTGTGACCTCTCCGCGCTACAGTCGTCTCTTCCGAGGTGTTCATGATAAGCAGCTCTCTGCAGAAGTACGCTCACTGGCCTCCGGGCGATGGGAAAGGAAGTGCGTCAAAAGCACTCACGCTCGCCTTGAGAACTGTGGGCATGACTCACCGAGGGACTAGCCCCAAACAAGAGGAGCTTCGCCTCCCAAAAACACCGTTGTGGGCACTCAGCTTTGCGTACGATGCTGACCTACACGTTCGTGAGTGACTTCATTTCCGCACGATTGTGAAGAAAAAAAAATAACTGCGTGCCCTTTCCCATAGGAAAATGAACTGCAGGGCTATCTTTGATATTCTGTCCTCCATTACAATCCTCATTCACCATAAAATCTTAGTCTTGCACGTGTGTTTCCACAATCCGATGATGCTGGCATCTGCTTGGGTTGGAAGTCTATCACAACATTCATCCTTAAATTCAACCAGGACCTTGAACAGACTGTTGCGTGGCGTCCTTCCGATCACTTAGTTAAGAATTGTGATGAAACTAAATTCACGTTTTTCAGAGTCAGTAAGAAAAAAATACTGCCTGGTAGACTTCAGACATTCCCGCATGCTCACCTCGTACTCGTCCCTATCTGATTATCTTTTTTGGACCTTAAATTAAATTTGAACTTAGAAAACGTCTTAAGACATTGTCTTCATTGAACAAAATGTACCTTTGATAGTAGAGCAGAGTTAAAATCTGGTACATATTTTCCCAGTGTCGCGTCATCAGCACTTGATTTTGCCTTGATGCTTAGTCACTTGAGTCGCGACGATGTTTACCGGGCAAACATATTGTACTGCTATCTGTCATCTATGTTCAGCGGTTTGAACACCGAGCTGTATGTATTATCACTAACACCGGTTTTAAGCCAAATGCTACGCTGCTGTTCCGTGATAACAATGCCCATACTGATGACGAGCATATTTTACTGTAATCTTAGGCTTGTGAATCACTTCTTCAAGAGCATTCATATTGATGCTTTGTTTTTATATGATTTATTAGTAAGAATAACACCTGATTCGCACATGACTCCCAGTTTTCTGCCGCTTGATACTCATTCCGCGCCCTGACTGTGGTAAATATCTGTCCACGATCAACGCTACAAAATCACGGAACTATTTACCCAATGCCGTTAAACCTTTACCATAACTTCATTCCGATAAACTTGACATTAGCTTTTGATGCATATAATTATTTAAATTTAGCTCATTGATTATGCCAAGCTTTCTATTTTTATGTATTGAGCGTTTGTATACCATAAGAATTCCACTTGATTTATTTAGTATTTATTTTCTGTACTTCCCATTTTGTCATTGGTACATATTGATAGTGCACTATTTGCTACCCAATCATCCGCTGATGTTTGCACCTTATATGATCAATCTTTGTCTGCTGTATTTTATACGACTGTGTTCGTTTGACCTCGGTTGGATTTCTTTCACATATTCACTCGGGCGGTATTGTAAACGAAAATCCCGTCGCAGTCTCTGCCTTCTGGATTCACGTTAAGGCACGTAAAAAGTAAAAAAAATGAAGCCGAATGAAACATCAGCTGCCAGTATACCTAAGTGAAACTCGCCACTCACTCACCACTCATTTTAGATTGAGGGTCATTTTCGTGCTGTGCCATCTTCGTCAAGTATGCGTCGATAAGCGTCTTTGACGATGGTAATTTGACGGAACGTCTTCTAGCGTCGATTTCCGTTCTATAAAAAAAAGAAAACGGAACAGTTCCCGTTAAAAGTTTGTAGGAAGCACATGCACTCGCACGACCAGGCAGGATTTAACGAGAAACATTACTGGTAAATTGTAATTGTTGTGCGTGCTTTATCCTGAATGACGTAAGATACAAAGGAAGTAGAACAGCGAAGGGTAAGTAGGCTGGGGTCATGGTCTCGTGGTAACAGAAAAAGTACTGTGTGTCGAAAGAATCAACTATAGTTGTGCTTGTATACACTTATAAGCTGGCGTTTAACAAAGCAGCAACATTAGTATAGGCTCTATCTAGCTATGAGGAAATACAAAGCTTCCCACGCTGTATACTCAGGTAATAACGATTTGAACGATGTTCTGTCTACAGGACAATAAAGTACCGTGCTAAAAATCCAACGGCCATTTTTCATTGCTCCTGTTTTGCCAAGTAACTAAGTAACCGCTGAAAAATGGACCATGTGTTATTCTTGCCACCGCTAAAAGCTTAAAACCAATAATCTGAACTTTTTTGGTTTTGCCCGTAAGATTCACTACAGTGGCGCCACATCATGTACCCGATGTGTAACTTTTCACATTGTCCATTAAATCACCATATGGCCGACGGACCGACGCGTGATCCTATATAACATCTGGAAAACAGCAGCCCAGGTGTGTTTACAAGTTGTCAGGGATGCTTATTTTAGTATCAGTGAGCTGTCAGTTCTTCGTAAGATTTTAGCTTACCAAACCTTATTACACCTTTTCAAGCTGATCGAGTGAACATCCTGAAGATAAGTCAGTCACAAGCTCAACGGTTGGCCTTGTCAAGAAGAACAACACACAGAACCACTTGATGCAAGTATTGCCAGTTTTGCTTTCGTTCTTTTATGTGGGCTGAATAATCGTCATCCCGGCGTCGATTAGGTTGCGAGAACGTTTTATGGGTTCCCCGACCACTTTGCCTTGTAATCATTGAATAGCCTTCTAGGAGAATGAATAGCTTGGCGAGTTTGTGGGAATTTATGTTAGAGCAGTGAAATGGATACAATGCCATATTTCGATCATTGATAAATAGGCGTGGATTCGGAGAATAAACATTAGTTTGAAGTTATCACTTGTCTCGTGTATTTGTCCCTCGCTTGTGTCGTTTATTTGTGCTACCTGCTTAAGCTTGAATGGCTTCTGTATCGAAGTTGATTGCCTGGCGAATATATTGCCGCGAAAGATTCTCAATTACTTCGGAAACGAGCACCGTTACATTTATTTGACGCGAGCTTTACGCGCATTTGACCTTATCTAGTCACGACCAGTGCGCTAAAGGCAGCGCAGGGAGATATGCCATGGGGCAAAACGTTGCGTTAGCGCACGTCATGACGTTTAACACGCGTGATTAAATACATCACTCGGTTCCACTATGATTCCTGTGCGTGAGTGTGGCTCTCTGTGTAATCTGAGAAAACTATGGAGCGATGTGCCGGTGTGTGGCAGCGCTCAGTGGTAAGAAGCTATTCCGATGCAAACAGCGCTCTCAATTCGTGTCGGCTACAGACCAATGGTATGCTATCTGTTGTGTGACGTCAAACAGAGAGAACGTGCAGCTCCGAAGGGAGTGAATGCAGGCTACTGTATGAAAGAAGGGTGGCTGAGAAAACAGCGATTTCACGCTGCACTTCTAAACTCTCCTTGTAACGCAAGAATGCAATATATGGCTGAGCTCTTCATAGCAGTGTTTACTCTACGCGGCATGTGTTATCCCGCCTGGACCAGAAAGTGTTTCATGGCCTGTCTTAGCAATGATAACAAAGCCGTGAACAAACCTTGTGAAGTCTCCCAGAGCTCGAAAGTGCTTCTCGATGTCGCGTCTTCCAGGAAACGCCAGCGTATTCAGGAATGGACCTTTGAGAAAGCCCAGGGGCGTGATCCGGCGGGTCGTGTTGACGGCCACGGCGAGCTTCCTCAGCGTGTCGTCCAGCCACTTGCGCTTCGGGTGGTCGAACGGATAGCTCTCTCCAAAGACGGGCGCCACGGCGTTGTTCGAGACGCTGGGCAAAATGAGGTCTTCGATGGCGATTGGTTGACCATCCGATTCTGCTATGCACTCGATGAGACGATGACACTCATCCTGGTTGTGCAGAGAGATCAAACGTGGCCTGCTTTAATACTTGCTCTTAATACTACACTCGTAACTATAGTTCCCCCTGTTCAACATTACTTACATATACTACAAATATTCCTGGTTTCACTGAGAAATTAGCTTCCAAATGAACAGTTTAACCAAAGTTCCTATAAACAACTTTACAGCGCGCGCACGTTTGAGGCTGTGCACGGGCTACTTCAGGTGACACATCATCATTCTGTAGAAGTACATCCAGTGTGCAAGACATGGGCGGAAGCCTCTCAGTGCCATGGCGAGAACTGTAATTGACGCCAGTGACTTTATAATTTGAGCAGCTATCGTTTGATGCTCGTGCTTGAGTTATGTTAAATTGAAATTCATACCTTTCTTAAGTACTCGTTAATGATATGCCCGGTAATCAGAATGCACAGCCGCCGGTGAAACATCGGAGATAACTGTTTGAAAGCTTCAAGGAAGACGGCTAGACAGACGCGACAAAGTTGGGCGACACAAGAACGCCTTCATCATCGTGTTTTGAGTGCTGTTCATTTTTCGTTTCCGAGGAGTGAGAACACTATAACACCTTTTCTCCCCCCCTTTTTTTACCATGACTTCAATTTGCAACTAAACTTGTCTAGCTTCTGTGTAGCACAGTGCGTATGCTGCCGAATTTTTTTGTAGACAAAATTCTCGCTCCATGGTTGGCTTTTTTTTGAAGGAGGGACAGAAACGTTCGGTTCAGATTTTAGGTTAAAACGACATATTAGTGGGACATTCCGAGAGGACTATTTTTTTACACTGCTAAATAATTCGTATCAAAAATATTTGGAGGTTTCACGGGAGAAGCCATGTTGTGACTAGACAAATAAAAAAAAAGCATTCAGCGGAAGATGAAAGCTTGAACAGGTTAAAAATCCGTGAACACGAGGTGTCACTGAAGTCGACGTCTCGACAACAGAATTTGTCTTCTAGTAGAGAATAGAAGTCCGCTTGTGGAAACGTCCTTGGAGTATGACTTAAATATATATATATATATATATATATATATATATATATATATATATATATATATATATATATATATATATATCCGCAGTCAGGAAGACGCACGTACGCAGTGATTTTATTGACGTTTCGGGCCCCGCCGCGGTGGTCTAGTGGCTAAGGTACTCGGCTGCTGACCCGCAGGTCGCGGGTTCGATTCCCGGCTGCGGTGGCTGCATTTCCGATGGAGGCGGAAATGTTGTAGGCCGGTGTGCTCAGATTTGGGCGCACGTTAAAGAACCCCAGGTGGTCGAAATTTCCGGAGCCCTCCACTACGGCGTCTCTCATAATCATATGGTGGTTTTGGGACGTTAAACCCCACAAATCAAATCAATCAATATTGACGTTTCGGCCGTGGGTCCGGCCTTCGGCCTTCATCAGAATAGAGTGTATGACCCGAGTGCTGTTTATATACATGTGCACATCAATAAGATAAACATATGAAAACTGACACGAGAGGCGATATAGGGGCATATATAAATGCAAGTCACACGATTTGAAGGTCACCTAATACACGTGTAAAAAGATATCATTTCTATGCGCGAGCACGTTTTGAGCGTTTTCAGGCAATGCTCAAAAAGTGTTGTAGGGTCACTTTAACGAACTATATATATATATATATATATATATATATATATATATATATATATATATATATATATATATATATATATATATATATATATATATATATATATATATATATATATATATATAGTTTTCCACAAATCGTCTATAATAGGCACATAAACCCAAAAATCGACGCACTGACTTTTTGTCTCTGGGTGTAGGGAACATCTAAACAGCGGCTGTCTTTTCGGGATCGGGACGAACACCCTCGGAACTAATGACATGTCCAAGGAATCTAAGCTCTTCGAAGCCGAAGTGGCATTTTTCGGGTTTGATTGTCAATTTCGCTGACAGGATGGCTTCTAATACTGTGCGTAGTCACTCTAGATGTTTGTCGAACGTTGCAGAGAATACCACTACGTCATCCAAATACACTAGGCATGACTGCCATTTCAATCCGGCGAGGACAGTGTCCATCATTCGCTGGAACGTCGCTGGTGCGGAACAGAGGCCGAATGGAAGCGCTTTGAATTCGTAGAGGCCATCTGGTGTTACGAATGCCGTTTTTTCACGGTCCCGCTCGTCGACCTCTATTTGCCAATATCCGCTTTTCAGATCTAAGGAGGAGAAAAACTTTGCGGATCGCAACCGATCTAGTGTATCGTCGATACGTGGCAAGGGGTAGACATCTCGCTTAGTTACACTGTTCAGTTTTCTGTAGTCGACGCAGAATCTAAGTGTGTTGTCTTTCTTCTTAACGAGCACTACGGGAGACGCCCATGGACTATTCGAAGGCTGGATGACATCATCAGAAAGCATCTCCTCCACTTGCTTCTTGAGAATTTCCCGTTGTTTCTGTGACACCCGAAATGGATGCTGGCATATAGGCCTCGTGTCGTCTTGCGTTATAATTCTGTGTTTCGTGATTGACGTGCGCTGGACCTTCGAGGTACTTGAAAAGCAATCAGAGAATTCTTTTACCAAGGCGTAAATCTGTTTCTTCTGACTGTCCGGAAGGCTCTGATTGACGGTCACGGATGTGTCGATGTTGCAGGCCACTGGTCGAGTGGTTGATGTCGTTAAGCTGCATAGTTCAGTCGCCATACAGAAGTCGTGTAAATAGGCGATAGCCGTGCCTTGAGCGATGTGTTGAAGCTCATTGGAGAAATTTGTGAGTAGGACATCTGCACGGCCATTCGTCAAGTGAACAAGACCCCTAGCTACGCAGACACCTTTGTTCAAAAACAGTCCTACATTTGTATCCGCTATGCCTTCGCGGTTGTACAATGCATCATTTTCTACGAGCACCATTATACTGCAGCGTGGCGGCACAGTTACGTCATCATGAACAACGCGTAGAGCAGTTAGGCGTCGTTCCTCAGATTCCTCCACAGGTATAGCTCGTTCAGTCGAAAACGACACGCTGGACCTACGCAGGTTAATTACGGCGCCATTAGCTCGCAAAAAATCTATTCCTATAATGAGTTCTCTTGAACATTCTGGCAGCACAATGAAATCGGCAACGTAAATAAAGCCCCGTATTTCAAGTCTTGCAGTGCATCTTCCAAGGGGCGTAATAATGTGACCGCCTGCCGTGCGTATCTGCGATCCACTCCACTGTGTCACAACTTTGTTTAGCTTTTTCACCATCTTGTGACTTATCACTGAATAATCAGCACCGCTGTCGACTAAGGCATTCAGCTCCCATCCTTCCTTTCTCAACCGCAAATCTGAAGTAACGTTTTCGTTGCTGCACCCATCTACCGGAAATACACCGTCATCACCCTCAAACCAAATTGGAGGATCTTCGTAACTGACGTTATCAGCGGCCTCACCTCCACAGGTCGCTTGCTTCAGTTTTCCGGGTGTGGACTTGGAGAGCGATGACCAGGCTGCCTTGAAGGCGTACGTCGGCTGGATGACCGGTAGCGCATAGGCGATGGTGACCGTGACCGGTGTTGGCGTAGAGTTGGCGAGTTCTGGCGCGTCGACAAGTACTCCTCAATCTCCGCTGGTCGTTCACCGTTTCGGGGGCACGGTGCATATGACGGGAAGCCTCTTAATCCAGCCTGTCGGTAAGGACAGAATCTGTACAGATGACCCGCTTCCCCACAATGAAAACACAGAGGCCTGCGCTCGTGATCACGCCAGACGTCACTTTTCCTGGGCCTACGCTCCACATAGTGATGTGTGCTACGTGCTCCTGGGGGCAGATAGGTAGCTGTCGGTTCCCGTGGACGAGGTGCGCTGCGTGCCGCAGGTGGGAGAGGAGTCGTTGCCATCGCAACTGCTGCATTGCTGTGTACCGTGGGTTGTCTGACAACCTCAGAGTATTTTCGGATAGGTCGAACCGGCTGCAGCTCACGCTCTGGCTCTCGTATCACCTGCCTCAGTTCGTCACGAACAACGTCCGTCACAGATAGTGCAGTTGAAGTCTGGGACATATGCAGTCTGCTCAGTTCTTCTCTGATAACTGATCTAATTAGCTCTCGCAGGGCTTCAACGTCGTTTCGCACGCCTCCGGGAAATACCTGTGCAGATGCGCAGTTAAGATTCCGGTTGTACTGCCGAGCCCGCTGTTCCAGTGTTTTTTCGATGGCCGTCGCTTCCGAGTAAAACTCAGCAACCGTGCTCGGAGGGTTGCGGACGAGAACGGCGAACAGCTCTTGCTTCACTCCGCGCATTAGATGGCGCACCTTCTTATCCTCAGCCATGTTGTAATCCGCACGCTTGAACAGGCGGACCATGTCCTCAATGTACATAGCAGCACTCTCGTTCGTTAGCTGGTTCCTCGATTGAAGAGCTGCCTCCGCCTTTTCTTTCCGGTCTATGTTCGCGAACGTAGCCACCGCTTGTCGTCGAAATACCTCCCAGGTAGACAACGAGGTTTCATGGTTCTCAAACCATGTCTTCGCGAAGTCTTCCAGGGCGAAGTATACGCGACGGAGCTTCTCTCTTTCGTCCCATCCATTCAAGCTCGCTACTCTCTCGAACAGGTCCAACCAATCTTCAACATCCTCGTACGAGTCGCCGTGGAAAACTGGCGGCTGGTGCGGTTGGCTAATGAACACTTGTGCCGGTGTTACCTGGCTAGTCATAGTGGTGGCATCCATCGTTTGAATTCCCCTTGGTGTGAAGTGAAGAGGACCGAACTCAGGGGAGTCACCTCGAAGACGGCGACTTGCCCTCTGGTGTATAGGAGTCACTTCCACGGGGTTGATACGCTGTTCGTCGGGGCTACGCTGTCTTGAGCTCGTGGGGCTTCGATTCATAACCCAGCACTTCCACCAGAAATGTAGCGATGCTGTCGCCGACAGGTTAAAAAAAAAAACAAGCGTCTTTATTAGGGCGAACTTGTGCCCACGATTCTAAAAACTATGGTCGTCAAATTC